ATAGGGTCAATCGGTTTTTTTCTGTCTGTTTGGAAGAACGCGATCACTATCATGGCGCACTTTGACGAGCGTCTCCATCGGCAGATCCTCGAGGGAGGTCGACGCGATGTCGGTATCCGCTTGAGCTGTATCTGCAGGCCCCCCGCATGTGGGAGGATAACACTGTATCTGAGACGTAAGCGAGTCGGTGTGTGTATCCACGTTGGACTCGGCATTATTTGTGTCGGGAGGTTATTCGACCGTGGCGGTCCGCGCTCCTCCTCCCTCACCGACATGTGGTCTCTTGGGACAGGTCCCCATGTGGGGCTGCAGCTCATCTGTAAGTGGTGACTGCTCTGTAGTCTTGCAACGCCGGCATATGTCGTTGCAGCGTGCGGATGAACGCTTGCGCTGACGACGTCTGGGTGCTGCTGGAGTGCACAGTCGTGGTGGTGGTATCGTCACCAAATCGTCGAGTCGTAGTTCTGGAACTCTGTTATAGACGGGAACCTCATACCATTGGCCCCCCGGATCCTGAAGCAGGTAGCCAAGTTCTGGATCCCAAAGCTGCCGAAAGCCATCAACTTCAATCAATTGTCCAACTGATAATAACGATGGGCAATCTGGCAAGGCGAGGGCTGAACTCTTCAAGCCCACTTCAGGTAGTTGTATGTCATAGTGCTCGTTGACAGTGCGATCACCACTGGCGTTTCCCAGAATATGCTCCTCGCGAATAGATATGCGATCAGATTCGGTCTGCGTCAGCTCGTTTTTATTCTGAATATGGTGCGCAGATCCACTGTCGAGAACCCAGGGGCGTGTCAACACAGCGGTCGATCGTGGAGGGTCGACTTGCGAAGTCATTGTCTTCTTCTGGTGTGTCTCGGAGGACTTTATGGTAGAGTCGTCGGAATCTGGGATCGCAGTTGGTGTCTCCACCGGCCCCTTGTTGTGTCGGTAGTCATGTAGATCCTGACACCATAACTTTGCTTCCCGTTGACAACGTTGTAGGGCGCCTGCACCCTGCTTCCACCACCATTGTGGCAGCGGGTCTGGTACTTTGACGATATCGCCCTCGTTCGGCTTCTCCATCCACTTGTCCAGAGTGGACCTGCCAGAAACGATGTGCGGGCAGTATTCCACGGTATGTGTGTCGAAACGTATCCGACGCCGTGGTTTGGTTGATGCTGTCTTGGCCTTGTTGGCGGCCATGAGAGTCTTGTCGCGCATGACGTAACTGCGGTCGGAGTGGCGCGGGCGGCGATAATTGGCAGGAGAGCGTGCCCTGAACTTGGGAGAACCACGGGACGAACCGCGGCTCGTGGAACGTCGGTCACGTCCGCTGTCGCTGCCGTACGATCTGTCACGGCCACGTGGGCTGCCACGCCCCCCGCCACGCCCGTCTCGCTTTCGAGAAGAGGATCGCGAATTTCTATCGTAACGACTTCTCGACTGACTGCGAGAGTCGGCAGACCTCCAGGAGGATGGGCGAGATCGGTCGCATTGGCGTCGGTTGTCACGTCTATTGTATGAGCCCCCCGCGCTGCGGGATCCCCCGCGTTGTGGAGAGCGTTGGCTCCCAGATCCGCGGGGCGGCGGTCGGCCGCGACTGTCGTGACTGGAGGTCCGTGGGCGACTGGGGCTGCACCAGGTGCCAGGTGAGCGTATTTGCATTTGTCACCCTTAGGGCACTTGTTCTGCGCGAAGTCTCTGCGCTGCGCCATGTGTGGGAAGTTGCACTCGCCGCCTCTGGCGCAGGTGTTGCGCTTGGCGAACTCGAAGCAAAATGGCTTCGATGCTGGCTTCTTGGGATTCGCAGGGGCTGATACGCTGCGGCGAGAGTTGCCGCCAGCGGTCGGTGCTCTGGAAGATCTGCTGCTCCTCCAATCCCAAGAGAAGGTATGTAAAGCCTTGCAACGTTCACCATTGCGACAGTTGCCTTTCTTCCAGGCAGCGCAGACATGCACCTGAGAACGAGTCTCATGCTCGTACCGTAACTTGTTTTGATTACTTTCCAGTTGTTTGAGCTCCAGTACGTCTAGAACGCGCTGTCGGAGCCAATCATAGGTACGATTCGGGCCGCTGATCTTCATGCGCTGGTATTCGTACACATCCTGTTTCATCCAGGCATGTCGGCGAATCTGCGTGCGAAACAGAGATTCCAAGATCTGTGGGTCGGGTGCCTCTCGGCAATCCAACAGTAAAGCGTCCCAATCAGTAATGAAACGTTGCAAATCTTCATCTCTCATCCTCAGTTCTTTGAGGCGCTCGAAATCATGCAGGTCGTCATCAACCTCTGTCACTTTGTAGGACTGTAGGATGTGCCAGTATATATGGCGTCCTTTGAGCATGCGTCCTGCTTTGTGCTCTCTGGTCTCGATGAGCCTGATCTGGTAGCGCAAGTCGGAAAATAAGATGTCGCTGAGAGCGGTGGCGAGTTTGCAGTCGATGCTCTCAAAGTTTCCGCTGTCTTGTAAGTCTTCAAAGGTACACTCGGGCTGCCCGGCCACGCATAGGAAGGCATATGCTTTGGATGGTCGCCCTGAGGCGGCTCCAAAATCCTCCCGTACTTTTTGCTGCCACTCAAGCAGTTGCGTGATCTCAGGCAAGACGGGGACTCGGACGGTGTCTGACTCCTTGATCGGAGTAGTAGTGTTGACCGAAACCGCAGACAATGGTTGTGAGGGTATCGGTACACCGTCGGTAGTTGGTTCTGTGGGCACGGGAGACACGTGGCGTGTCTGTGCTGAAGCTGCCGCGGAGGCTGCTCATGGTGACGTGCGTCTTTGTTGTCCTGCAGAAGCGCGTGGTGCTTGAGCGGACGCTGCCGTCGGCCTGTGCAGGTCGGTTGCAGGCTGAAGGTGAAGTGTGGTGTCGTTGGTGTGGTCAATCAGCTGATTGGTCCAGCCCGTCACGTCCTCGTGTATTTGGTCCACTTTTTGGCGTTTGTACTCATCAGTATCCCGAGAGCGTTGTGAATGCCGATCAAGTCGTTGCTCGTAGGCTCGGAGACGGGCGCTGTGCGCCTCCAACTCACTGTCCAGACGTGCGAGGTGCTCCTCGACACGTGCATGTTCAGCATCTCTCTCACGGATGACCTGGGAGAGCTCAGACTGCGTGGGGCCCGCCGCCTTCTCAACCTCCTGCAACCTGTCAGCGAGGCGGGCGAAATCGTAAACCGTGGGAGGAGAATCCAGCTGATCAGTCTGGGCTCGTCCGACGCGCAACTCTGCCAGGGCGTCCTGTACACCAGGAAAACGCTGCTCGATTTCAGAGACCCGGTTAGCGAGTGGCTGCGCGACAGCGTTGGTCGCACCAAGCCTTTGAGTGATAACTCTCTCAGTATTTTGCAACATGCCGAACAGGTTCGACGAGTTGGTGTGTGACTCGGTGCGAAGCGTCGCGGTAGTGTGGTCCATGTGGGATCGAAGATCGTTGATCTGAGACTGAACATCGCCAAGGTCGGTGGCCTCGGCTGGAGGCGGTCGGTTGCGGAGCTGGTCGTGGATCTCGTCGTGGAGAATCCTGACTGCTGAAACGCCCGTGTCGCGTGCGATCACAAGCTGTTGCTCCATCTGCGCAAGGTAGTTGCGCAGGTTCTCGACCGTCGCCGATCGTTCACCTGAGTGTGACAACTCACGGTCAACCTGGCGCCGCAGCTCACCTAGGACGCGGCGATCTTCAGCGATCCTGGAATCGATGATCACTAAGGCGCCGTCGAGATCTTGGCGTAGAGCAGCAGTGTTGGCAGCGTTCGTCTGGACGCTCTGCATCAGTCCAGAGTACTGCCTGGACACGAAGGTTTCAACCTGGTCTCTCAGCTCAGCTATTTCACCTGCAGCGGACGTTGCCGCCAGACGGTCATCTGAGATGGAGAGGTGGGGAGCGTCGGCTTCCCCCTGCACCCTTCCGCGAGGAGTGCATGGCCTCTGCGAGGCAGCACGCGGGCGTGACCTTTTCTCGTCGTATGGGCCTGTGGCCCCGCGACGGTTGCGCAAGGACGAGCTGCGGCTAGGGCCGCGTGTGTGCGTGGTGTCTGATGAGATGATACCTGGGGGTACTGCGTGTGCGGCCGTGCCGTCACTGGTCTACTGAGTTCCTCGAAGGTGGCAACGTGCTCCGCTACAGGAACGGTCGCAGGGCTGGTCATGCCAGTACCTGTGTTCCATCGGCGGTTAGCGCGAAAGCGCCCTGGGGTATCAGGACCAGCGGGGCTCGCGCCCGACGCAGTTGGGATTGCTGCCGACGGAGGAGGAGATAGAGGATCGAAGGTAGGCGTGTGGAATTCTCTACTGCCTGCTCCTACTCCTTCTCCTGTCCCTCCGCGGGCGGCGTGGCGGTGAAGTTCAGCAGCTAGCCGCGCCTCGGGTCCGTCGGAGCTGGGGGGGGGGGGCCTGGGACACCTGCACGGTCCACGCTAAGGCTCTCCAACTCATCACCGAGCCGTCGCGCCGTCGGAGGGCTCGGACGCGAGGCCCCGATGGACCCCTTACGGCGCATGCGCCGCTGGGGTTCCATCGAGGCCGCGTGCGAGATCGCGACGCGGGGTTCGATGAACTGTGAGCTTTAAAGGGCTGATAACCTGTGTATGGGGTGAAAGTACAAAGGTACAGAACCCCTGATCCGCTGGTAGAGGAAAGGAGGGAAAGATGGATATCTTTTCCTCCTGCACGATCAAAGGTCTGATCGATTTAATTCAATACCTGAGCCCACACGGCCAGGCGCAAGAGAGGTGAGGATAAGGAGTATATATGAGGGTAGTATACGGGTTCTATTCACAGAAGGCGGAAACTAGAAAGGGAGAGGAGAAGAGGCGGAGAAGGAGGGTAGACAATGATATGGGACCCGTGTTACCAAACTGTTTGTGTGCGATCGTTTTGCATGTTATGTACGCCTGGTGTGCACGCGTGTTGCATCATGTGCAATAGCTGTGTGCGTCCTCTGCGCGTGCTACTGAAACATGCTTGCTCACCTGTGCGATTTGCGCAAAAACAACACGTCCACCACAACTGTTGCTGTTTGGGGGGAGGAGGGGGAGCGGACAGAGCTGCACCATGACCAGCTAGGCGATGCAAGAGTGAAACTACTGTGCTACCTGAAACGCCGTTCACACGAACGTCGAGCAACACAGACGGGCAATCTTTAGAAACACCGCTCATACATATGGTCCCTCGGCGGCGGCAAGCTCAAGCCGGAGATGCGAAGCGCGAGGAAGTAAAGCACGGTGCATCCATGGATGCTGCACATGGACAGGGGCCATCCCGCAGCATCCCGAACAAGAGGGAGGGACAGATGATCGCACGCCACTAAGGGAGAACATGAGAGAGAGAGAGAGAGAGAGAAAAAAAAAAGAGAGATAATCCGACGGTCCAGCAAAACCCCCAGGGGGTCCATCGGAGAGGACCTTTTTGTCACCCTGGCAGGAAGGCCGAAGACCTGCCAGGGGCCTTGACAGGACCCCCCCTAAGAAAACATTGCCCTGCGACGTACCCAACCCATGTGCATCAAGTGGCAAGAGGAGTAGGCCAACATTCGCAGGAACAACGACACTGTAGACGCGGTGAATTGCTGCGCAAACTACATGGGCTGCGCATGCGTTCCACGACTCACAGGACGACGATCGAAAGAACGAGGATTGAGGCCCCAGGCTCGAAGAATAACGGGGACAGGAACGAGGGGCAGGGGAAGGATGAAATGGGGGGTAATCTGAATCTGCGTATGACGTTACTCTGCTGGGCCCCCCAGCAGCCCTCGAAAGTGGCGACACTTTCGCAGATCGCAGCCCCCCAGGGATGTTGAGGTCAAATCTGAATCTGCGCATGACCCCCCTCCGCTGGGCCCCCCAGCAACCCTCGAAAGTTGCGACAGTTTCACAGATCGCATCCCCCCCAGGATGGCGAGATCTAATATGAATCTGCGTATGACGTCACTGCGCCGGGCCCCCCAGCAACCCTCGAAAGTGGCGACCGTTTCGCATATCGAAGCCCCCCCCAAGGATGGCGAGGTCAGATCTGGGTCTGCGTGGGGCGTCACTCCGCTGGACTCCCCAGCAGCCCTCGAAAGTGGCGACAGCTTCACAGATCGAAGCCCCCCAAGGATGGCGAGGTCTAATCTGAATCTGCGTATGGCGTCACTCCGCTGGGCCCCCCAGCAGCCCTCGAACGTGGTGACAGTTTCGCACATCGCACCCCCCCAGGGATGGCGAGGTCTAATATGAATCTGCGCATGACTCCACTCCGCTGGCCCCCCCAGCAGCCCTCGAAAGTGGTGACACTTTCGCAGATCGCAGCCCCCCAGGGATGGCGAGGTCAAATCTGAATCTGCGCATGACCCCCCTCCACCGGGCCTCCCAGCAGCCCTCGAACGTGGCGACACTTTCGCAGATCGCAGCCCCCCAGGGACGGCGAGGTCAAATCTGAATCTGCGTAGGGCGTCACTCCGCTGGCCACCCCAGCAGCCCTCGACAGTGGTGACAGTTTCACAGATCGCAGCCCCCCAGGGATGGCGAGGTCAGATCTGGGTCTGCGTGGGGCGTCACTCTGCTGGCCTCCCCAGCAGCCCTCGAAAGTGGCGACAGCTTCACAGATCGAAGCCCCCCAAGGATGGCGAGGTCTAATCTGAATCTGCGTATGGCGTCACTCCGCTGGGCCCCCCAGCAGCCATCGAACGTGGTGACAGTTTCGTTGATCGCAGCCCCCCAGGGATGGCGAGGTCAAATCTGAATCTGTGCATGACCCCACTCCGCTGCCCCCCCCAGCAGCCCTCGACAGTGGTGACAGTTTCGCAGATCGCAGCCCCCCAGGGATGGCGATGGCGAGGTCTAATATGAATCTGCGCATGACTCCAGTCCGCTGGGCCCCCCAGCAGCCCTCGAAAGTGGTGACACTTTCGCAGATCGCAGCCCCCCAGGGATGGCGATGGCGAGGTCAAATCTGAATCTGCGCATGACTCCACTCCGCTGGGCCCCCCAGCAGCCCTCGAAAGTGGTGACAGTTTCGCACATCGCGCCCCCCCCAGGGATGGCGAGGTCAAATCTGAATCTGCGCATGACCCCCCTCCACCGGGCTCCCTTGCAGCCCTCGAACGTGGCGACACTTTCGCAGATCGCAGCCCCCCAGGGATGGCGAGGTCAAATCTGAATCTGCGCATGACCCCCCTCCACCGGGCTCCCTTGCAGCCCTCGAACGTGGCGACACTTTCGCAGATCGCAGCCCCCCAGGGACGGCGAGGTCAAATCTGAATCTGCGTGGGGCGTCACTCCGCTGGCCACCCCAGCAGCCCTCGACAGTGGTGACAGTTTCACAGATCGCAGCCCCCCAGGGATAGCGAGGTCAGATCTGGGTCTCCGTGGGGCGTCACTCCGCTGGACTCCCCAGCAGCCCTCGAAAGTGGCGACAGTTTAGCAGATCGCAGCCCCCAAAGGATGGCGAGGTCTAATATGAGTATGCGTAGGGCGTCACTCCGCTGGACCCCCCAGCAGCCATCGAACGTGGCGACACTTTCGCAGATCGCAGCCCCCCAGGGATGGCGAGGTCTAATTTGAGTTGAGTCTGCGTAGGGCGTCACTCCGCCGGCCACCCCAGCGGCCCTCGAAAGTAACGACAACTCACAGATCGCAGCCCCCCAGGGATGGCGAAGTCTGATCTGAGTCTGCGTGGGGCGTCACTCCGCTGGCCACCCCAGCAGCTCTCGAACGTGGCGACAGCTTCACAGATCGCAAACCGAAGAGAGGAGGACGGAAGAGAGGAGGAGGCGGGAAGAGGACGCGACCACAACAGTCCTCTATGCATAACGAATACCCATCCAAGGAGGGTTGGGAACAAAACCGTCTTGGGCGTCGTCGGGCAAGTCCGCCCGATTCTTCTGCGAAAGTCTGGTCCCCAGGCTTCGGGCTTCATCCTCGTTGACACCATCAGCCTGCAGGCAGTCAGCCACGCAAAGATCCCACCCAGCTTGGCGACTCAAAAGCCGCCCCGCCCTGCTCGCCCCTGGGCTGGGCCCCTGACGGAACGAAGGACCAGCCGAACCTATCCCGCGCCAGACCCCCCGGAGAGACCCAGGGGCCCAGCCTAAGAGGGCGGTTCGGATGCTTGCCCTTGGAAGAAGCACGCTTGTTCTTGCGCCCTGGATCGACGAAGGCAATTTGGGAACCCAGACGGAACCCCTTGAGACCCCGAGCCCCTGGGCAGATGGTCGCATACGCCCCGCAAGTGGAGCAGCGCCAAAGCGGACCCTGCTTATCACCGAGGACTGGGAATTCAAGCATGTGGTGGCTTCCTTCGGCCCACGGGCTCTGGCCTGCGTCCGCAGCCGGGCGGGCCAACTCAGGCGCCAAAGGCTCTGGGGGGCCTGGGAAGGGCTCTCGGGTTGAGGCGGGGCGGGGGCAGCAGCGGCAGCAGCAGCCGCCTACTCTTCCCCCCCCCTAGCCACCTCCACAGCCCCCCCCCGCGTCAGCCCCCCCCCCCCGGGAGACCCACGCGAGCCCTTGTGTGTAAGGGGTTAGAATACAAGGTACAAAACCCCTGATCCGTAGGTAGAAGAAAGAACGAAAAATAGGGATCTGTTCCTCCTGTGCGACCAGCGTCCTGGTCTCTTCCAGTACCTGAGCCGGTAACGCAGGCAACAAGGCGAGTGAGGAGGAGAGTTGGGGGAATGAGACGGATTCCTTTTCACGCCCCCCCGTCCCGAATCCCGCCCGCACGGACAGGAATCGGGAAACAGGAAGAAAGAACCTGTCACCCTCTTACTCCTCAAAACGCACATGGCCCGAACACACCAGCAGGGCCCGCCTGTGTAATTGTGTAGCGCCGCCGCGCAGTGCGAAAGGGCAAGGTAAGGGGCGAAGGGGCATCCAAGTGTTCCGAACACCCTTTAGGTGCCCCTCGGTGCGCCCCCCCAAAAACGCTTCGGCACTCGAGGGTGGAAAGGAATGGAACACGGATGAGCGGAGCAAGAGAAACTGAGGAAACGAAAGCAAAATCAAAAGCCGCTGCGCCCAGCCTCATCGATGAGGAAAGGACGCAGCGGGCGTTGCCACCGGCATCGAAATAAAAGCAAGTCGTATCAATTCAATCAATGCTCCGCCAGCTGTAATATAGGAGCTGTCGCACAGAGGTTATATATATATATATAAGTAAATCAAAGTCAATGTCGTGTTGATGAACGCGAAAAGTTACATGAACGAGCGCTGTATCGGGTGAATATCTTTGGCAGTGCTCCTAAGGAGCGTGCCTTGGACATCGCCAAGATGTGTGTGTGAGGCCACTTATCGATAGTAGTGAAGTGGCCAAAAGGTTGTGTGTTGTACTGCTCGAGGCGAACTCTGCAAAGGCTAAGTTCAGGCTAACTCGAGCAGTGGGCCTTGCGGCCGACATCAGCAGGCGTTGCCGCGCGGGTAGAGCTCACTTGCCCATGCGCGGCGGCCATCAGGACCAACGTAGCTGGTCCTGTACGCATCCCACGCAGTCCGCGCGTGCCAGTTGTGGAAGCGAGGGCGGTGCTGGATGTCACGCAGGTACACGAACTCGTCGTTGTTCTCCGCGATGTAGATCCAGCATTTGTTGTAGTAGCTCCAGTACCTGGGGCCCCACTCGCTACCCTCAAGGTTGTTGCGCCAGTAGGCAGCGCACTCCTGGGCGATGCGCGCCCGCTTGGTGCGCGGAGGCGTCGCCGGTGCGCGGAGGCCAGCGCTGCTGCCGGCTGCCTGTCAGCCGCTCGGATGGGGCGTGGCGGCGGCGTCGCCGCCCGGTCCAGCGGGCATCGCCGCCGGCGCGCCTGTGGCGCGCGCGGCAGCAGCAGCGCCGGGGCCATCGCGAGGCGGCTGCGCCATGGCATGGAAAGGAGAAGTCGCATGTGGAGGGTTTGTGATAGGATCGGCTTCAACTCCTGAACTCTTCCCCCCATCGCCTTTACCTCCCCACTATGTACGTGGGATGTCAGATCCAAGGGCAGGCGGGACGGAAGCAGCCTTGGCAAGATCACGACGCGAAGTCCGGTCGAACGCGCCGTCCCCGCGGGGCGCCGCAAACGTGACCAGACCGCGCTCTTGCCAGGTGCGCCTGTCCATCCTGCCCTCGTTCAACCGCCCTTTCCTGCGACTGGCGAGGCCAAGGGCCTGGCTGCGATAGTGGATATCTCACGCCCAACACATGTCCTCTTCGGTCCAGGGCACTTTGCCGCTAGCCTCTCGGGCTTCGGTCATCTGGTGGTGAAAGCGAGACTCGCTGAGGAAGCGCTGAAGGACGTTCCGGTAGGGGTGGCACAACGTACGATGGTCGTCGGGCTCGCCCACGAGCCGGCATTCGCT